TTTTAGATAGGTGGGGGCCTGATTCTCATTCTACGTATTGTGGAGCTCTTTTTTTTTTTTTTTTTTTTTTTTTTAAACACCCGAGCAGAAGCTAGACGTGCTGGTAAGGGCAGGCACCACTAGCACTGCCGGGAAGTCTCCATCTGTTGTGGAACTTTCATGGTACGTACGGAAGGACGGACTAAGACATTAAGATTCTCCACTGAAGATCGGCTTGTGTTGCAGGTCCTATCTGGCAGCTTTAGTTAGAAAGCTGAAGAGGCGGGCGGATCTTCTCAGTCAAAGGGGAACACCAACACCCTCTAAACTACTAGACAAGGTAGCACCCCGTACGCGTACGCGGGGAATACACGTATGTAGTCCGGAGTACGCGTACGTGCTAAAAAATCCCTCATATTTGTATGTTAATTCATAGTTCAAAAAAAAAAAAAAAAAAAAAAACTGAGAAAAAATTATGTCATGCAGAATAATAATACAAACAACTTTTGCCTCAAAGTTATGTCGGAACACCTAACCAAACTCGAGTTAAAAATCAAAAACTGGCTGGAAAAAAAAAAAAAGCATGGTAAGTTGGTAACTGGCTGGACGTCTAGACCAGAATCCAGACGGTCCGGTTGTCTGGGTTTGGGTCCGGTGTCCAGTCCGGTCTGGATTGGGCCCAACTTTGAAAAAAAATCGAATTTTGTTTTGGGGGGGCCTAGGACGTTTTTCGGTTCCTAGGCCGGCCCCAAAAAATGCCCCCGGTATTTTTTGGCCGTTTCAGGGCCTACGGGACACTGCCAGATGCCTCCAACAGCTCCCTCTGCTGTTGTACTAGGGTGGTAGTTCATTGGATGAGGATGAGTCCGATTCCGCAGATGAAGCGCTGGCTGCAAAGCGCCACAGAAAATCAAGCTAGAGAGAGAGAGAGAGAGAGAGATGATTTTGGTCAGATCTGAAATCCCGTCTTAGATCTGGTCCTGACCAGATCTCAGATCTGTTCTTACGCAGATCTGTATAACTTAACAGTTAAATTTTCAATTTATATATATCGTCACAAACAGAACTGCCCGGTAAACCGTAGGCAGAGAGAGAGAAGAGGACAACAAACGAGGGGCTGTGACAAACTGTTTCGTCGGAGTTTTATATATATAACAGTTAAATTTTCAATTTATATATATATCGTCACAAATAGAACTGCCCGGTAAACCGTAGGCAGAGAGAGAGAAGAGGACAACAAACGAGGGGCTGTGACAAACTGTTTCGTATATATATATATGAATTAGACTATATGAATTAGAAAGTCTAACTTCAGAAGTTCAAAGTTCTGTATCTTTCTGATTTTCGTACTCTTTTCTGAAGTGTTTTGGGATCACAACGGTCTGTTGACAACTGGTTTCAACTTTCTAGTGTTGTGTGGGCCTTTGTAAATGTCTGTGACAGTATGAAGCCTTTGTCAAGTTGTGAATATGAATAGTGAAAGACAGGAAGTACTAAGTCTCGTCCCCTTAACTCACAACTGCCATCGATTGTGTTCATTAAATTGACTTCATTTGCATCTAGGACTGTTTATTACTAACGTACTAAGTTTAGTACGGTTTATTACTAATGTTTTTTTTTTTTTTTTTTTTTCCTGGTCCGGACATTTTTTGTGTCTGGTGTACCGGTCCCGACGGTCCGGGTCCAGTCCTGTCCAGTTGTCCGGTGCCTGTCCAGATTACGGGACGTCTGGACCAGCCCAGACAAATGTCTGGGCCTCGGTCCAGACATGTCCGGGTCCAGGTCCACAGTTGCCATGAAAAAAGTAATAACTAATTAATAATTAAAAAAAGAATACGTATTCCCATACATGTACTATGCGCCACGTACCGGAGAACATACTCCGAGCAGAGTAAGTACTCTGACCCCCGTAAATGTACGCAGTGCTACACAGCTACTAGAAATGAGAGCAAGTATCAGTTGGAAAAGGCTTGAGGTACATTATGTACCAATAATTAGTATTTTACTATTTTCCAAATGGAGCAAGACTCAAAGCCCAACCTGAGTAATTCAATGTACCTGGACATATTCAATGTACTAAACACTCTGATATAATCAGAGTCCTTATCCTTCAGTCAAATGCATCCTGGGCAGACTGTTGGGGATCAACCTCCTGATGTGTCCATAAGAGTTCGACGAAGCAGTCTGGGACTGTGCTTTTTTTGTGTGTGTGGAGTTGTGCATAGCGAACGTGACAACACACACACACACACACACCTACACACACACACACACACACACACGCACACACACACACACACACACACTCACACGCACACACACACACAATTATTTTTATGTATGTATTTATTTCTTCTTTGTTTTTGTATGTCTTTTTTCCCGTTTCTATTAACAATCATTTTGTGTGTCTAAGCGAGCACCTCTAAGAGGTGCTAAGCAGCTGGTGGCGGGGCCGCTCTGCTCGTGATGTCTGTGATATGGTCTATGGGTGATGAATCTGATGATAGACATCCGGTCAGCAGGTAATGGGAACCGGCGGTCTGTGGGATTCCACTTGTGGTGTGAGTAGGTGGTGGGAACCGGCCGTCTGTGGGATTCCACTTGTAGTGTGAGTAAGGTGTAGGTGATGAACTGCTGTGGTCCATAGTGGATGTGTGGACTGCCATGTCTGCGCTCCTCGGCTGCCTTGCTGACCATCCTGCTTCCAGGGTCTTCCTTTGCAGCTGGTTGATTTGTGGTGTAGTATTGCTGCATTGTTGGTGTTGTGCTTCGCTGCATCGTTGCCTTCCTGCCCCTCCATGTGCCTGTGTTTCTGTGCAGCGCACTTGTGTGGTTTGCAGTTTGGCTGCTTTGTTGGCGCTGCCTTGCGCTGTTGCCTAGCTGCCTATCCACTTGCCTTGACTGTCTTTCCCTGCAGAGTACCTGTTTGCTTGTACTTTGGCTGCTTTGTCGCTGCTGCCTTGAGCCTCTCTGTGGCATTGCTTTGCTGCTTGTGCTGCCGGCTGTCTGCCTTCAAGAAGAGTAAATAAAAGGGATCATGACTCAAAGCATCGATATGGGGGTTCCGGAGATTGTTGAGGGTTCAGCCTCCTGATGAATCGGTGCAAGTCCGACGAAACAATCCTTTTTATTATTCTTATTTTAAAGACTCTTCAAGCCCTACTAGCAGAGGTGATATGCGCATCCCCTGCTAGTATGCCTAGTTGGGTCACTCCATCTATTGGTGGGGACCTGCACCTGCTGGAAAACGGGTCCAGCATCCCAGATGGTTACATCATTTCATTTCAGTCTGGAGCATCTGCTGGAAACCGGGTCCAGCGACGAAACAATCTAGCATCATCGTGTTTTCTTTTTTTCGTTTTTCGTCTTTTTGCGACTTATATTTTGCTTGTCTGCTGTGTTGTTGTCCTTTCCCTGCCTTCTGCGCTTGCTGGTTGTCTGCCCCACAGCCAACCCCGTGCTCTCCAGCATATGTGTATGTCGCCTCATCCAGCAAATGTGTGTGGTGTCTCACTGCTTTTGCCTGGCTGCCATTTGCCTGGCTGTTTGTCGGCATGTTGTTGTCTTTCCCCTGTCTTGTCCGCTTGTGTGTCGAACCACCTCCCCGTGCCCTCCAGCCTATGTGTTGCCTCACTGCTTTTGCCTGGCTGTTTGCTATCTTTGCAGCCTAGTCTTTACTTGCTGCTTGCCTGGTCATTCAGACGATGTGTCTTGCTGCCGCTTGTCATTCAATCCCTCGTTCTGCCGTATTTTTTTATTTTGCCTTACTGCTTTTTTATATCCTTAGGTGATGTCTGTTTTATTTGGCTGTTTTGAATTTCAACAGCATGCACATAGGGCATATAAGGCTGGCTTGGTTGTGGCCGGAGCTCGAATACCACACACTTTTTTATCTGTATGGAGCACGTAGTTTGCATGACATGCTATCAGATTATCCGGACAAACACACACACGCCCACCCCCATGCCCACAAGTGCCCAAACCCCAACCCACACCCCCACAGCCCCGTCCTCCCCCATCCCACCCCCTTCCGCACACACACATGCCCACACCCCTGCCCTGCACCTGTTTTCATGCCCATACCCACCCACACCTCACAGCCCCATCACCAACCAACCCACCCATGGACACCAACACACACACACATACTCACGCCCGTGCCCACACCCCTCTCCCCCCCCCACCACAATATGGCCCTTCGAAGCTCTTCGTTCCGGTGGATCAATGTGGCCAGGGTCAGGACCGTACAAGTGGTCACGCCAGTTGATATCCTTGGCTGATTGGGTGTGTAGAGTGGGTTTTGTGGTTGTGACAGGCTAGTTTTTTTCTCAAGACTTCGTGCCATTCTTGTCAGGGGTTTGGACCGACAGTCTGCTAGCACAGTGGAGTTGATGCGAGTAAAGTCGACCACTTTTCGCAGGGGTGTCACGGGCTGGGGGCGACATGGTGAGTCGGTATCCATCAATCAAATGCATCCAGGGCAGGCTGTCAAGGTTCAACCTCCTGATGAGTCTGTGCAAGTCCTATGAAACAGTCTGGCACATCTATGCTTTTTTTGTAGAGTTGTCCATGGCGAACATGACAACACAAACACACAGAGAAGGAAAATGAACTAAACAAGACCACAGCGGTAAGGTGATTAATTTACAACAACACACAGGCAGCAACATGCACTGTAGTCTGATAGCCGCTTGTGTATCGTGAAGATGACAAATTCAACAAACAAACACGTCCGACATAAAACATGAGCTTAGGCATGCGTAACAAGAAAATAGCTAGTACCTGAAGCTTGGCTTTCAGTTTGTCTATCTTGGAATTGAGCTGTTCTCTTTCAGCCTCCAGCTCTGCAATTTGATCCTTGACAACAAGCGGGTCCTTCTTCGTTCTGCGGAAAAGCTCGACAGTCTTGTGAACCTCCTTAAACTGTTCTTGCAAGCCCTTGCATTGAACATGCAAGTCCCTTGTCTCGTCATCCACCATCAACTCTTCTGGAAGCTCCACATCGACCAGGAATTTTGCCAAGTACGCACGCTTTTGCAAAAGTGGAAGCTGCACAACAGAAGAAAACAAAAAAATGCCATAAGGCCCATAACCAATTTTAACTTTTCTTTCTTCTTCATCTTTCTTAAAGAACCAGTACATGCCACCTATCCGCCGCAGGGGGGCGCCGTTCGGAGGCCGCCCGCCGCCGATTCATTGCATTTACGGTGCTCGGCCCCTTTAATTTTCGGAGAGGCTCAAAACAGGTTCTCCGGTTGCCTGGGGTCATGTACTGGTGGCCGTCATCTATCAAGGGTGGTCTGAGCATCCCCCCATAGCGTCACGGCTGTGGGTTGTTCCAGTCTACATCAATTTTCACTTTTTGATCACACGTTAAAAATTCCATGTTTCAGAACTAACCATGTGTGTGTGTGTGTGTGTGTGTGTGTGTGTGTGTGTGTGTGTGTGTGTGTGTGTTGTCAAGAAACCCCAAACTCTCTCTCTCATTCCATCTACAAGACATCACAAAGCATCCATAAAACAAAAGAAGTATAAATGAGAAATGTAATAGAAAATGCAAGGTTCCCCACGTTTGTGTGGTTGAGCGGGAAGTGCCCACACAACCATCTGCCACAAGCGGCACACTTGCACAGATATATATTGTCCAATAGAACTGCCCGGTAAACCGTAAGGCAGAGAGGGAGAAGAGGACAACAAACGAGGGGCTGTGTATATATCTGTTTGTGACAATATATATATATATATATATATATATATATCGTCAAATAGAACTGCCCGGTAAACCGTAGGCAGAGAGGGAGAAGAGGACAACAAACGAGGGGCTGTGACATATATATATCGTCATATATATATATATATATATATATAGAGAGAGAGAGAGAGAGAGAGAGTTTTCCATCTGGTGTGGGTGAGTGATAGTCTACTTTGATTTTGGTTAAGTTGGATTATCACTTACAGTGTAATCAGTGAGGGGATT